ATTTTTTGGGGGGGGGCCAAAAAAAAATTAGAAACAGCAAAATTTCCCGGGGGGAAAAGTCCCCTTTTTTAGAGCGGCTAGGCCCCTTGCCCAGATCGGAAGGTCGTGGGTTGTTTCCTGGAGAAGCCAGATTTTTTTTAAAAAAAGGGACCTTGGCCCCCAGGGGCCCGAGCCTTGAGGGGGGTACCGGGTGCAGTCCCGGGAAGTAGGGGGGCCCCGGTAAATCCCGGACCACTTTCCCCCAATCTTGTCCCGGGAAGGTCCAAAAAAATATAGGTCTAGCCCTATACCCCTTTTAAAACCCTTTTAAGGCGGGGGGAAAAAAGGTTCTTTACTTTACTTACAATTCAGGGTCCTAAAACCCCCCACCCCCCCAGGGACGGAAGATGACCAACAGCATCCTTACTAATTTCTAGATGACACAAATTTAAAAAAAATTTTAAAGGTTGGCAAATAGCCATGGTAAATTTTAGTTTAAAGACCTGAGACAACAGATCCCGCCCTCCAAGACTGTCCCAGGTTAAAACCTATTGCCCACGAAAAAAAAATTAGGCGCAACCCCAAAATTTATGGGTCCCCAACTAAAATTGCGACACAAAATTTCCAAAAGGAGAGAAAAAAAGTGCACATAAAGAAATCTTTTTAAAGCAAACGAAGGAAAAAAGGAAATATCATTAAAAAAAACTTAACATAGTAGTTTACCAATCTTTTTTCGCGATGTTTGGCAGTTCTTCCTTTGTTTCCCTTTTTTGTGCCTCCAATTTTTCTTGTATTTTCAAACCCTTTTTTTCCTAAAAATCACAATTTTGTAACTATAAATTGTTATTTGGGACAAAAAATAAACAAAACAACAGACACTGCCAAGGAGTCTCTTTCCCTTTTTTTACTCCCTACTCCCTTTTGGGTTCCGGGGCCCCGGTTTTTAGGGAAAACAAGAATTTAAACCCCCATTTACCCCAAAAATTTTTCGAAGAGTAACTAATTTGGAACTTCCCTTAAAAAGGGGGGATTGGGTTGCCTAAAAAGGGAAGGAACCCGCATTTGCAGCAAATGAGTCAGTCTGTTTAAAAAAGATGCCCCATATACACTAAAGGGTTTTGGAAAAAAAAACTCCAGTCCAGAAGTGGATGAACAACCAGAAAATTTCTGCCAGGTTTTCAGCTGGTGAACGCAAAGAAGAAGAAAACATACTCCCTACCAGAGGTTTCAGATGAAGGGAAAGGCCCCAGGCCAACATGACGAAATGTCCTCCCCTGATTTACCCAATCCTGAGTCCCCTGCCTTTGGGGTTAGGAATTTTGAAAAACGCTTTCAGGGCCCCAGCCTTGAGTGGGCACCAGGTAAAGCTGTGGGGAAATAAAGGCTGCCGGTATGATTTTGATAATATCTTCAGCGAAAATGTGACTGGTCATCAAAAATAGGCAGTCGATACGCCCCAAAACACCTGAAAGGTTTAAATTTTTCCTTTTCCCCCTTTCACAGTAAGTGCTTTTAACCCCTACGACAGCGGCCACCCCCCAGGGCAATGGCTTTGTTAGGCCCGCAATACCAGGTAAGGGTAGCCAATGTGTGTTTTTTTTTTTTACCATCAGTGAGATAGGATCTGCCTATCCAAGCATGCAAAAACTACTGTCGGCAGAATGCGTGGAGGAAACCACATTTGGTTCAAAGGGAAAGAATGGAACTGGCAAAGGGCTGCGGAGCGCAAAGAGCATGGCGAGGCATGTAAAACCCACTGGTCATCCACTGCACCTAGACATATCTCCAGTCGTCCTGGCTCTGTCTTGCCACTGGACCCAGATATGACTGAGGCAAGAGAGAGAGGTAGATGACACTGCGCAACTCTTCCTCACTTTAATCCAAGTCATTGCGCAAGTCATTCTTTCATCACCATCTCACCGTTCAACATACACAATATTTATTATTATTTTATTTCTAATAATTAATAAATATGTCACTGAAACCTCAACCCTGTAAAGTATTTTTATCTATCATATTGAGTACTTAATGATTATTTTATTTCCCAATTATGTATATTATGTGGCTTTAAAATATCTCGGCTTAGATTCAGAATTGATGTAGAGTAGATACCGGTAGATTTCTTTATCTGTGTGGAATGCAACTCTGATAGTTGCGTTATTTAATTTTAAATATATTTAAGAAAATTTGACCAAAGTAGCCAGGCTATTAATAATTACTATCACTGATAGCAATCTCCTCATTCGCCTTAGTTCTTTGTGGACGTCTTTGTTTCCTCCATGAAATAATCCAATTATTATAGTTATAGACTATTTTGCAATGTACAAGAACAGGGCTATTCAACTGGCGGCTGGCAGGCCAAATTTGGCAATGTTTATTTATGATCCCAACAACAAGTTGGAAATATGTGGATATCCCTTTTAAACTGAT